ATTATATTGTGTTATTTCAATTGAATTGGGCCTCTTAAGCTTGAAATTTTTCTTACTTTTTTGTTTAAGCTTATTATGTTTTTAAATTAATAAATGGTATACATCATAGAAATACATATTTCTCCTGGCTTAAAGGCATCTAATAAAGTCTATTGCTTATTTATACCTTGAAATTCATATAGCAGTAATTCTCGCAATACTTATATGCTTTTTCAGTAATAACAGGAAAAAGTAATTACAATGAAATATGTTTACATACAAATATGAAGGAAGTATTTTTTCCTAAGCCAGACTTGCTACACATAACCACTCTTTCTCTGCCCGCTTGTAGATGTTTTCTATTTCCTGATTTCTGAACTCCCTGCACTCATTCTAATCTGACAACTAGTTATCTAATTTCCCCCAACCTCTTTTATTCTGTCTCACAAGTTTTTTTTTCTCTTAAATTATATGAGAAGTACAGGAGAACAAGCAAAAAGGAAGTCTGTGAAGATTTCCATCAATTAGTAAGTTTGAAATTTTAGAACACTGGAATAAGAATTCTCAAACTTTAGAGTGGCTAGGAATCATTTGGAGACATTTGTTGAAATTCAGATTACTAGGGCCCACACTCAAGAATTCTTAACTCAATAGGCGTGGTAGGGCCTAGGAGTCTGAACCTTTAACAGAAAAGCCAGACAATTCTGATGAAAGTGTTCTGTGGACCACACTTTGAAAAAACTGTGGGCCTTTTGCCTGCAGTAAGTATATGACGCCTCCAGGTAACAGAGGAAAAGTATTCTGTTCTCATTGAAGTAAGCTAACACTATGTTTGCCAAATTACGCTGCATAAACACCAAGAAACTGGGAAAACAATTGGGATAGGAAGAAAATGTTAGAATTATTCATTTTTATCAATAATTATTAATCAATTATTATCAATATTAAAAGACTGACACTTCACATTTATTTTCCAAAAAAGAGAACCAGAAAGGTGGGAAGATAATTAAGTGGTAAATGATTTAGCAGACCAGAAAAGTCAAAACTTAAACTAGTAAAAGTACATTTTATTTGTATTGCAGAACCCCAAAAAGGCTTATAAATTTGAGGCATTAGGTACCTCTAAAAGTTGGGCTAAAAACAGATTGACTATACAGAAAACAGATAAACCTCCAGAACCCTTCCCACATCAACCAGGTAGGCAACTATACTTTTGCTATCAGAAGAGAAGACACGAGATTTGTTCTCTGGAGAGACTAAACCTCTTACTGAAAAGAGGAGAATTAAATGAAAGTCTACATATTGAAAGTGAAACTCTTAACCCCCTTCTCCACTTGGCTAGTACATTGCTCAAATTGGCGGACTTTATTTGCTGAAATTGATTAACTCCAGAGAAAAGACACTGATAATTAGGAACCCAACCCCAATGAAAAATCCTAGTCAAAACATTCTCCAATGAAATCCATCTGTCAATAACACAAACCTATGCTCATAGCTTTTCAACCAACTTTTTGGTTCTTCAATTTTAAATATTGATGGAGGAGTAACTCATACTTAAAGTAAGTCTGTAGTCTGTAACATTAAAGACCAAAACCAAATAAAACAAAAGCAATGCCTCCAACCCCCCTCCAACTCCCCCTCCAAAAACAACAGACGGTACAAGGAGAAGCAAAAGATTCACTGGGTTGGGAGGTAAAGATAAGCAAATCTCCCAGATAAGAAAATTAGAAGTTCAGTACATAAGATCCAACATAAAAAAGTAGGAGCTCCATAAAATAACAACAGAAAAACTACAGTAAAAGGATATTGTCAGAAATATATATAGTTCAATAAAACATCTCAAAAGAAAAGGATGACACTTTTCAAACTGAGAAGACATCCTGAGTATCCAGCATATCTTGAAAAAAAATTTGAACACTATCAATAAAGAGATGGTCCTAAATGTTTTCATCCTTTGTGTCACCTACAAAGGATGATGAATCAGTATGATATCAGACTTCTCAGCAGCAACACTAGCAACAAAAATCAATATAGCAATACTTTTAATGTTTGAAAGAAGAAATATTTCCCAAGATTTCAAAATATTCACCATCCATATTCTCTTTTTTGGGAAGCCACTGGAATATGCACACAGTAGAATAGATGAGGTACGGGAAAACTAGGGAACCAGGGAAAAGAAATCCAACACAGGAGAGAGAGAATGATAATTCTCAGGTTGATAGTAAAGACAGATCCCAGCATAGAGGTCATAGAAAACAGCCAGTTCAAATGGGAGCAAGAGGACAGCGAATTTTTTTTTATTGTTTCATTCATTTCATTATCTTTTCCATCATTTTCTTCACCACTGTAATTTCATGCTATTGGTGATAGTAGCAAACCAAGCAAAAACCCAAGTAAGTAAGATATAATTATTAACTACTGGAAAAAAATCAAACATTTTTCAGAAAGGAAATGCTATCTTGAATAATAAAATAATCCACACAGCCATCAATTATCTGAAAATGAATCCAAGATGTAATTGGAAGAGAATAAAACTTATCCACCAGGATGCTAATCTCCAAGTTGTGTATCCATATCAGCCATATTTCATTTCCCATTAATTTGGCATCTTATGCCCACAAACTTTTCTTAATACCTTTCTCAACCCATGAATATAGATGTTTAGCCTATATCCTATAGTAGCACATGCTGTGTGATTACTGAAACCATATCAAGTAATTCTAAAATCATCAGATTTAAATTGCAAAGAGATGTGCTATAGTTCTGGTATTCTAGAGTTTAGTAAAGAAATATATCATTTTGGCCCTCATTTCAAACTTCTTAATTACTTCCTAAAGTAAATAAACAGATTTCCTTTTGATTTTCTCCTTGTAATTAACATACAGTCATTTCCCCTTGGCTCTATTCTGTGCTCATAGAGGACTTTTATGCTTTAACTACCTTATTGTAACACTCATCCTCAATAATTCTCTTCTTATCCCATTGCAATAACCTTCACCATATTAGAATACTTTACACTCTACTTCAGTTTTACATTACTTAGTAGTAGTTGAAAAATAGCTAACATTCCTAATGTTTTATCATAAAAGAGAAAATAATTTGTTTTTCTCTTAAGACTTTGACACTTCCTTATTTCTATTACTGATTTGGTGTTTAATGTATAAATAGAGCATGATCCTATGATTATCAACAACACTTTCAAAATTTAAATTTTATTTACAAAATAATTAGCAAGTCTTATTTTTCCCTTCTAAAAAGTTCTTATTGACACCCAAGATCAGCATTTTGTTGCCTCCTCTTCTTTACCTCATTCTTAAATGTGATACTGAGGCAAATATTTACTAATGCATTTGTTACTAAATCATGTTCTATCATGAGTTCTATCATGAATTTGTGAAAATTCTTTAAATATTTTCTACAAATTGTAAAAGAAAAATGCAAGCTAAAGACTCCCTTGATCATCCAGTTTTAAATAAATTCCTCTCTAGAGACAAAAAGCAAAATAGCAGTGGCATTTTTATTTATACTCAACCTTTCATCTAAGAACATATAATCTGTAAGAGTGACTATTACTCCAATTTTATCACTAAGGCATGGAATTACAGAGATTGAACTGAAGTGAACTCAAGAGGTTATCTAACCTAGCTTCTATCTCCAAGAATGACCGCATTTTAACAGTCCAAGAGATATGTCCATCTTCTCTATTTTTCAAAATCGCCAGGGAAGATGTTATAACTTGCCTTAGCAATTTGCTCTGCTGTGTAATATCCCTTAATATCATAATCCAAATCTGCAGATGAGAAGGAAACAAAACTCAGGTTTCCCAGCTCACTGGTAAATGCTCTTAACCAGTTGTGGTTGTAAAACAACCACAAAAACAAATAAATGAAGAAGTAGATATTTTGATTAAAATTCCAATATCTAGTCAACTATTCACCTGTTTCATTCAATTTGAAATAGTTTTGTATAACAAAATTATCTTGATTTCATAACAAAAATTTTCTATTAGAAAGAAAACTAATTTCTGTTAGGTGTATATTATGAGTCTCAAAGATGCGACTAGAAACATTTAATGGGAACTTTCTGGGTGCCAGGCATTGTACTCCATGCATAATATCACATTAAATCCTCGCAGCAACTCTATGAAATAGGTACTACTGTTATCTCTGGTTTTTTTTAGATGAAGAAACTGAGGCTCAGGGAAACAAAGGTGTCCAAGGCCTCATAGTTAGTGAATGGTGAAGCCAAGATTCAAGCCTAGGCATTTGGTTATGTTTTACTGTCTCTCATACATTCTCAACACATTTGTTACTATATTATTATTAGGTTGCTTTAAAATTGGTTGAAAAATCCTTATCTGTATAAAAATGTGTGTGTGTGTTTCAAATTCCCATTAGCTCCTCGGTATTTTTTTTAATATCAAAGATGTTTTAGAAAGTACAAACACCTTCTAAAAAACATGCGTTTGTATGACAAGTAATACTTTAACTTTTTTTTTAAGTTTGCTTGTTTCATGATTTTTCTTGGGCCCCTTAGATTTGTTTTTAAAACTTCTATGAATACTTTGAAACTGCACTTTAGTGATTTGGGGCCTTGCTAATTCTTTACAGGTACAAGGATATTTTTAGGTCTTACCAGTATTCTAAATGAAAAGAGGCAGATTTGAGAGTGGAAGCTAGGTTAGACTGGCTTCGATCTAAATAGCTTATAAAATATTGTAACTAATTAGAATGTTTAGAATGTTTTCTCTAGTATAAACATAACATTTTAACTAGGTGAATGACTATGTTAGCCAAATAATTTCCTGAAATATTGTTGCTTTGCTATGGTAATTTGTGGTATTAGTGTAATAAACAGACTTATAAACAGGTTTATATAGAATTTTTTAGTTCTATATAATGTCTTCTTAATATTTCAGTTTATTTGTTGACATTGATATTTAGAAGAAAAAAAATAACACATTTCAAAAGCCACAAAATTTTGAAATTGAATTCATAGTTCAATATTTAATATAAAATTACCTTTTTCATTGTTTCTTTTCCCACTGTAATCACATGCCCATCCTGCCCCATGCCATTCTTAAAGAACAGAATTCGGACTGAGGTCCTCTCAGTAAGTTTCTTCATTCTAATAGAAAGAACAGGCTTGGTTTTCCGTCTTTTGACATCAGTAGGAAGCATCAACCCATTCATTGTCCAAGTTACTTTCTTCATTAACAACAGATGGTCTAGAAGATAATTTTTTAAGTCAAGTCAATATTTGGCTTCAAAATTAAAAATGGACACATCATACTTCCCTCCCTCTACTACCTGTTTATTATACACTGGCCAGTCTCCATTTAGATGCTGGGTTTTCTGAAATGCTACCACCAGCTTCTTACTAACCGTGACATAAGCTGTAGCAAGCTGTCTGCTCTGATAGCCTGCATAAATCATCATTTCTGAAGGGAACAGATGTTCAGGGTATGAAAGAGTAATACCACAATTTAGTCCTAATTAAAATTCACCTTAGCATGCCTCTATTACTGATTATACGCACCCAGCTGAAAGGGTCCATTGAAAATGTCCAATGTCCTTAGCTTACTATGAAACTACATAGGTCCTGAACTTTTATGTTCTTTAGGGTTGGGAAACATTTCTTGTCTTTTTAATATGATTTCTTATCCATGTTGCTTTAAAGATGCTGACCTCCAAATAGTAACATTATACTATAATTCTTCTCCTGTGACTAGAAGGAAGGTGCCTTCTAGGACATCCTTGGTGAGAGATTTAAACTATTTCACTGAAAATGAAAAACAGTTTTTCATTAACAGTTTATTTTGACCTATACATTTTCAAAGCTGTGTGCAGAAATTTAAGTTTTAAAACTCCCACTAATATAAACAAGAGCACAACTAAATTACTATGTTTGACTTTGAAAATGTAAGGGTAAGAACAGGAGTGCAGTATATTGCATTCTAAGTTGCTGTCAGCATTCTTCTCTTTTCAAGAGGTTTTGTTTCATAAATAAATAATTTGCATCTGAGCTACTTATTTGTGCATTCAATTTATTTTAATCATATTTTCTTCTTACATAAATTACAAAAACACAATGATCCCTCCCTCATCTGCTCTTATTTGTTCTGAGAGAAACATAATTTTATTTACAAATAACTGAAAATAGCTGCATTTATTGCTATTTTGCATTGAAATTTGCCTAGATTTTCAAATGATCTTTCTCTGTTAGCACTTACCTTGAAAGAAGCTTGGCCTCTTTGACCTAGAAATGTTACTTTACATAAAATCTGCCAATATTGATATGAAAAATAAGCCAGTGGTTGTAATAACCTTCAAGTCTCAGAATGACTATATTAAATGTTCAACAACAACAACAAAAAACCCTCTATTCTCCCCCACTTCTTTCTCTCTGTTACTGACAAACATATATACATATAAAAACACATATACCATAGCAGATAAACAAAACTTGCTGATTAAATTAAAACTAGATTATAAGACTATAGACATAAGCCTTCAAAAAGAGAAAAAACATTTTAACAGAAATTTGTTACCGTGTGTTTTCATTTTGTAAACTGAAATTAATAGGAATTAGAAATTATAATAGAAAAATGAGTTATTTTAACTATATTCACTATAGTTAACTTATTAGTTATTAAATATATTAAATATAGTTTAAATATATTAAATACAATTAAATATAGTTAACTATATTAACTGTAAGTTAATGAGTTCATAAATAGCCAAAAGAATTGAAAACAGATACTCAAGTAAGTACATGTACACACATGTTCATAGCAGCACTATTTACAATAGCCAACATGTGGTAACCAAATGTCCATCAATAGATGAATGGATAAACATTATATGATCATTATGGAATGACTGGTACAATGGTGGTACAATGTATAACATAGATGGAATATTATTCAGTCATAAAAAATAATGAAGTACTGATACTTGCTACAATATGGACAAACCTCAAAAACATTATGCTAAATGAAAGAAGCCAGACATAAAAAAGGTGACATATTATATGATTCCATTTACATGAAATATCAGAATAGGTAAATCTATAAAAACAGAACATACATTGATGGTTGCCAGCAGCAGGGAGGAGAGGGGATTCAAGAGAAGCTTAATGGGTAAAGTGTTCTATTTTGAAATGATGGAAATATTTTGGAACTAGATAGAAGTATTAGTTACATGACAGTGTGAATGCACTAAATGTTACTAAATTGCTCACTTTAAAATTATTAATTTTGCATTATGTGACCTCAATAAATAAAGAAGAAAAAAAGAAGAGGAGGAGATCCCATAGGTGCTGATCATTGTCAGTCAGTATTTCTCTGGGGAAAAAAAATCCTCACGGGGGGGAAAAAAAAAGAATGAATTATTGTAGTTTAATGGGAGTTTACCCACAATCTGCATGGTGAAAGGGTATTACCTCTACCTTCAAACTATGCTTGAACCCTAACTCTGTTTCTTAGTGACACTAGATGTACTATACCTCCCTGAATCTCAGATTTCTCATTAAAAATTATCTAGCAAGCATCACTCCACTGTCTGATAGGGATGAAGATTGCATGGACATTTATCAGTTCCCAAAATTAATACTTTTACAATTTCTTACACCTGTCTTTACTGCAATCTCTGAACATAAATTGTGAAGATTTCATGGACATTTGTCACTTCCCCAGTCACTCTTATAATTTCTTATGTCTGTCTTTACTTTAATCTCTTAATCCTGTCATCTTCATAAGTTGAGAATGTATGTCACCTCAGGACCACTATTGTACAAATTGACTGTAAAATATGTGTGTTTGAACAATATGAAATCAGTGCACCCTGAAAAAGAACAGGATAACAGCGATTTTCCGGGAACGAGGGAAGATAATCATAAGGTCTGACTGCCTGTGGGGTCGGGCAGAATAGAGCCATATTTTTCTTCTTGCAGGGAGCCTATAAATGGGCATGCAAGTAGGAGAAATATTGCTGAATTCTTTTCCCAGCAAGGAATATTAGTAATTGAGACCCTGGGGAAGGAATGCATTCCTGGGGGTAGGTCTATAGACGGCCACTCTGGGAGTGTCTGTCTTATGTGGTTGAGATAAGGACTGAAATACGCCCTGATCTCCTGCAGTACCCTCAGGCTTACTAGGATTAGGAAATTCCAGCCTAGTAAATTCTAGTCAGACTGGTAGTCTGCTCTCGAATCCTGTTTCCTCTTAAGATGTTTTTCAAGACAATGCGTGCACAGTGGGACATAGACCCTCATCAGTAATTCTAATTTTGCCTTGCCTTGTGATATTTACTGCCCTTTGAAGCATGTGATCTTTGTGACTTACTCCCTGTTTGTACATCCCCTCCCCTTTTAAAATCCCTAATAAAAACCTGATGGTTTTGCAGCTCAGGGTCGCCATCACAGTCCTACCAATATGTGATGACACCCCCGGAGGCCCAGCTGTAAAATTTCTCTCTTTGTACTCTTTCTCTTTATTTCTCAGACCAGTCGACACTTAGGGAAAATAGAAAAGAACCTACATTGAAATAGTGGGGGCTGATTCCCCTGAAAATATGTAAAATTACCTAACATATTGAAGTCATTCCATAAATGTTAGCTTCTTCCCTCACCTCCCTGAAATTTGATTGCTTATTATGGAGTGTCAGAGCATATTAATTGTTACATCAGTCAGAGTCCAATCAGGAAAGCAGAATCTACTCAGAGGATTTGGGCAGAGGAAACTGACTGCAGGTAAATGGTTATGTAAGTGATAGAAAAGGCTGAGAAGCAACCGAAGGACAGTTAGGCAACCCAGAGATTAGAAAGAGCAAGAAACCACTCCCACTAAGGCCAGAGGGAGATGTTACAGGCGCCAAGATTTAGAGAATCTTACCAATAAAGGGTTTTCCAAGGCCAGCACTAGGGTGAGGGGAGTGAAGGCCAATGAGGCAAAATTTAAGGAAGCTGTGCAGGGCCCTCACACAAGCCTCAGAGCAAGTGGCTCCTCAAATTGTGTCCCATTGGTACTTCATTCACCCAACTCTAGTCCCAGCTCCGGCTGAAACTCTTTCACATGCAGAACTCCTTAAATTCCATGGAAAACAATACTATAGCCAGACTCTATTTATGTGATTTATAGATATTAACTTATTTTGTTCTCTCAACAACTTTATGAGATAGGTAATATTATTATTCTTATTTACAGTTGAGGAAACTGAGGCACTGAGGCACAGAGGCATTAACTTGCCCAAGATCATACTACTGGTATGTGGTGGCACTGGGATATGAATTTAGTTCAAGAAGCTGTGCTCCCAATCACTGCACTCTTCTGCCACTTCCATATATCTCAAATTCAATGTCTAAAGTAAAATTTCATATCTTTCTACACAAACTGACTCACCCTTCACAGTTTTTATTTCTGTCAGTGTTTCCACTTCTTTTACAGTTATCCACTCTCTCAGCGAGACCTTGTACCTATACTGCTTATTCATTTCTCTCCAACTAATTGCTTATTCATTCAACAATATTTATTGGGTGTCCACACATCAAGGCACCAGGTTGACAACTGTAAGGAGGACAGAGCTAGTTGTGCAGTTCACAGTCTCTGGCAGAGAAACCAACAGTGTAAGGTCTCTCTGAACAGAGAGGCATATGTGATGAGAAGTTAGTTGTGAAAATCTGGGGGAAAGGTATTCCAAGCAGAGTGAAAACCAAGCACAGAGACTCGAAATGAGGATCGGCCTGACATGTTTAAGAAAGAAAAATAGACCAGGTGCAGTGGCTCATGCCTGTAATTCCAGCACTTTGGGTGGCCGAGGCGGGTGGATCACCTGAGGTCAGGAGTTC